TTACAACTTTGCACCTCCCATTCTTGATATTTTGTATCCTTTGAATTAAGTAAAAAATATTTAAGCTTAAAAACTTATTAGATATATAATATTTTGATAATTTAAATAAGATATGAAGAGTATATTTACAATAAAAGATTATATTAATCTATTCAATATAATTTTTTAAAATAAAAAATGATGATAAAACCATATATATTATTATAATTTTAGTTTTAACATAATTATTATTTTTTTAAAAATATTTCACACCTTTTAACTTGGGATCTTAGATTTGCGATTGACTATATACACAAGACTTGAATTTAAGACATCTGGTTAAGCTAGATTAATTTCTTAACCAATTGATCCAAGCAATCAAGCACTTGATGATTATAAATAATAAGTTCAAGAATGATGGATTATATTATTAGATGAGCGCACACCATAGTCATATAAAAAATTTACTTAATGCAAATATGCTTTAGCACCATTTACATGAACATCCATTTTGAATTTCATTCGAACAGTTAATTCAAATTTAGACTATAAAGAATAACAGCTTATAACTTATTACATGTTATCATATTTGAAAAATGAAAGAGAAGCGTTGGGCCAGTGAATGAGAGAAGAGGAGAAGAAGACGAGGAGGGCACATGATCACATGGGTTGGCACATGAAGATCACTCATAATGACGAGACCTTAATTCCACAATGCGACATCTTTGAGAGGCATAAACTTCCATATATTCACTACGTCTTCACATTATTTTATTTCTTCTAATCATTTCTATTTTGACTCTATAGCTACCGTTGTATTTCTTTTATCTGTCATGTGACATATGCTGGTTGTTCAGGATTTTATATTATTTTACGCCTGTTCATCGTCAGCTTTAATATTAATTATATACTTTATTAACTATTAACTAGATCACGAGTATCCTTCTTAAAATTTGATTCCATATGATTAGGCATTAAGAACAAGCTCCTGATGTTCTAATAATGCTGTAAACAAGAAAAAGAAAATTCCTTCGACTGCACCTTCTTCAATTATGATAATCAATTAATCATTGTGAACCAGGATCAAAACAACTACTTAAGAAATAATGATAATTTTTTTTAAACATGCAGGTTTCCTCTTTTTAAAAATAATTTTATTTGAGACATGGTTAAACAGTAAATATTTTTATGGCATTCAAATGTTAGCAAATTTTAACAAACTCGTATAGTTTAAAAAAATTGACTAAATATAATAATTATTTATAAAATTTAAAAGTTGAACTCAAATACCCTTGTAATTAATATTTAGCATGTAAAGGAAAGAAACTCTAACTTTAAGAGGGGCAACTTGAAAAAAGAAGGAAGGAGAAGCAATAAATACTTCTTGAATTTTGTAATTTTATTCATAAAAAATAATAAAATATATGGCAGTTCCTTCAATAATAATAATAAAAAACAGAGGAAGAAAATTGTAAAAGTGTTTTTTTCTTTCCTTTTTCTTTTCTTTTTTCACATAAAGAGAGTTTGAAGTATTCTCTCTCATTCTTTATAAGTCACTTTTAAAAAAAATTGATAATTTTTCTTTTAGGTTAAAATATATAAAAAAATTTTAAATTTTGAGACAATTACATATAACCTTCCTCATTTTTAAAAGTTTAAACTTAACCCCCTCATCTTTAATTTTGTTTTCCAAACCCTCCATTATTAATATGTTATTTTTTATGAGAGTTAAAATGTCATTCAACTAAAAAATATTATTAAATAAAAATATTATATCGTGTAACTATTTATAATAAATTTTTTATATTTTTTGGATAGTTGAGGCATTGATAACAAAAAAATATTTGTTATCACTGTATAAAATTTTAAATATTTATGTTTATATTAGTTTTATCCATTTTTTTGTTATTAATTGTGCATGATTTTATTGTTTTAAAAGATAAATTTTTATTTATATTTTCATGTTAGATTAATGTAATGCACATGCTAAAATATTTAAAATTTTAAATATTATCATGTTAGATTAATTTATCTTTTAATACTAGAAAACTATGCACTATTGATAATAAGAAAAATAAATAAAACTAACACAAAAGTAAATATTTAAAATTTTATATGATGATAATAACATTTATTTTTGCTATTATCAATACCTCAACTATTCAAATAATATAAAAAATTAATTAGTCATAGTTCTATAATATAATATCATGTTTAATAATATTTTTTAGTTGAATGGCAATTTAACCTTTATGAAAAAATAATATAATTAATAATAGGGGTTTTGAAAAATAAAATTAAAAATTAGGGAGGTTAATTTTAAATTTTTAAAGGGTGAGGAGAGTTATATACAACTATCTCAAAATTAATCAGAGTTTTATATATTTTAGTCTTTCTTTAATTAACCCCCTGATATAAAAAATAAATCATTAATTGCTTTTATTTATTTATTGCTAGAATGTTGTTATCTACGACTCTACCCCACTCCAGCTAGATAGAAAGGGTGATGTGGCTACAAACGTTGAGTCATTAATGATGATTTTCACTCTAAACAAAGACTATTATTCCAACCAGGGAAGGGGGCCAAGTCGCAACAAATAGGGAATGAAGGGTTACGTGGCAGAAAGGAATGAACTGAGCCAATTGAACTCTATAAAAGCCGGAGGTGCATGTTCGAGTTTCCCATACATGCACCCTTCTCTGTCTCTGATTTGGAATTTGGTGTTATCAGTTAGAGAGAGAGAGAGAGAGAGAGAGAGAGAGAGAGATGGCGTCAGGAGCAGAAGAAACAACGAAGAAGAAGAAGAGCCAGCAGCAGAAACTACAGCAGATGATGACGATGACGATGATGCAAAGCAACAAAGGCAAGTTCAAGAGAAGCAGCTCTCATCTTCAAGAAGATGGAGCCTCCTCTGCTATCCTCTTCCTTGCTTGCATTGCCTGTGCTCCTCTTTCTTACGCCTAAGCCTTAGCCTGCCATATGTATGCATGTCTGAATCTTAATTATATGTAAAGACTTTTCTCATCTCTTCTTCTTCTTCTTCCCCCCAACATTCTTATTCTATATGCACATCACTCTCTCGTGCTTCACCAACTCACTGCCATTCATTCATGCATTCCATGTAAATGTATGTTCCTCTTACTGATTTATTATATCTCCATCCTATTTATAAGTCCTAACATATTTCAGCAAAATCTTAAAACTTATCAACCCAATCTAAACATTTAATAAATTTTTAACCATACCTCTATTAAATATTCATATAATATATTTTCTCTCACTAACATTTTATAAGATAAAAGAAAAAAATTGTGATATAAATTAACAACATGCCTTGTAGTCAAGACAACAACAACAAAAAATCTTATCAATAAATGGAATAGGAGGGAGTAAATATTATGATTTTAAAAAACATTCACATACATATATACTCACAAATTATCTATTAATGATACCCTCGCATGGCAAATAAAATTGATAGCTATGACATTTTGGACTTTATTAAAGCTGGTTCTGTAGTGTATGATGGGTATAGTTTTTTTTTTTTTATCCTTTAATGAAGACTTGTCAATATTTCCACATTTATAAGTCACAATCATGTGAGACACATTAAAGGGGAAAATATATGATCATGTGAGGGTGCAGTACTGCATGGAACAAAGAGACAAGCTATGGGAATAGTCATTGCTTAAGCTTAAGACCTCATTGGCGGAATGGATCGAGGAAGGGCCCCTCTTCACATGCTGCAAAAGCATCCCACTACCAAAATATGAGACATTTTAGGGACAAGACAGAAAGCACTCCGCTTCGTAATTAATTAAGTTAATATGCCCTCTCACTAGATCCAAGCTTTGGTTTTTTTTAAACGTACAATTAAGAATATACTCTCTCTAATTCTGTACATAACATGTCTTCTAAAAAAATAAAATTAATCTAATTTATAAGATACTATGCAAAATATCAAACGATTTTCCTTTTTTTGTTCATAGAACGTTAATGTACATATATATAGCGGTCTTAGAATTTGAATCAAGATTTTATAATCTCTTTTACGAATATGTTTTTTTTTTCGGGTAAGCATCAAGAGTACCTCTGCCGACAATAAAAAATTTCCTCCCAAATATTAAGAGTGATTGGTAAATCTCTCACAATTAAATTGTTATATATACAAGGTCTAAAATTCAAACTAATGATAACTTACTTAGGAGAAGATGGATCGGAATATAATCGAGATTTTATAATCTCTTTTACAAATAATGATTTTCTTTGTTTTTTTTTTTTTGTGTAAGCATCAAGAGTACCTCTGCCAACAACAAAAAATTTGAGAGCAATTGGTAAACCTCTCCCAATTAAATTGTTTCATATACAAGGACTAAAACTCAAAACTTATGATCCCTTATTTTGGGGAAGATGGATAGGAATATAATCAAGATTTTATAACCTCTCAATAAGAATATGCAACCTCTGCAAAATCCAACCACGACTGACAAACCATCGGAGACTATTGATGAGTTTGGTTGGTGAAATTTTTTTTGATCTGCGTGAAAATGTCTAAAACATTTCATGGGAATATAATTTGAATCAAGATTTTTTGATCTTTTTTACAAAGAACGAAGAAGACGGCTAAGATCTAATATTATTTTATTTTTAAATTTCCAATAATTTATATTTTAAATAATTGCAATAAGTTGACAGGAAATCAAGTATCTAGAAAGTAAAAACTTCCGGTTTTGAAGTTAAAAAAATTATATATATATATATATATATATACAGATTTACATATACCGTTCCACAAGGTAATGCAAATAATCCCCCGTTTTTTTTTTTATCTAACCAAATTACAAGTTAGTTTTCACCAGTCACTCAATTAGGAATCTGGAACCCAAATAATTGAGCCCATTTGGGTATTGACCCCCAGATTATAGCTTCCAATACATTCGTAATGGCGCGCAACCTCGACATTTTTGAAATTCTTTCCATGGGCTAAACAGCCATAATTTGAGAGAAAAAATGGTCAGAATTCAGAAAGACGAAAACCGTCCCATATCATAACAAGAAAGTCAAGTACAGCTATAAAGATTCAGAATCGCCATTTCCTCCACAAAAGAGGCACCCAAAACGACAAAGGCCTTAGAAACAAACGCTTCACACTGCAACACCGGGGATGCAGCAGAAAACCATTTATTCGGGACTCGCAGTTTCCTTGAAAGGAAGCTAGACTAGGCAAAATATATAAGGAAAGCACTGAGCAGGCTACTTGCAGGACCGTCTTAACGAGTTTTAGCCATGTGAGCAATCAAGTCCACAACGCGCGTGCTGCAGCATTACAGACACAGCAAGCATTAGCTATCTATATCTTATAATTAGATATAAATTGGATTGTTGATTTTCCAGATAAAACGCCCCTTAAACCCTGACAACCTTTAAAGATGCTGCTACCACGCATAGTGAGAAATCATATGCCAAAAAGAAACAGAGAACGAAAACAAGAAAGGCGAATTACCTGTAACCCCACTCGTTGTCATACCAAGCAACAAGCTTCACGAAGTTTTCATTCAAGGCAATACCTGCCTTAGCATCAAAAATACTTGACCTGCAGCAAGGAACATTTAAAAATAAAGAGAAGATCGAAAGAATTATCATACAACTCCTAAATCCCAAGGACAAATAGGAGAATATATGGATCTAAAGACAAGCAGGGAAGCTGATGCATCTAACAACTTCCAATAAGATGATAATCCACACCTGTTGTCCCCAACGAAGTCAGTGGAGACCACATCTTCTTCAACGTAACCAAGGATTCCCTTCAACTTGCCCTCGGACTCCTCCCTGAAAGACAGTACTATTGAATCAAACAAGATACAAGCACAGCAATCCCAGAAGCCTTCCAGCTAAAATTGAAGAGTTCAGTGAATCCGAGTCCTCCCAACCTCAACAATCAAATAAAAGTTAAAATCTTACTTGATGGCAGCTTTAATTTGGTCGTAGGAGGCCGGCTTTTCCAGCCTCACAGTAAGATCAACAACAGACACATCCACAGTAGGAACACGGAATGCCATCCCAGTCAATTTTCCATTCAAAGCAGGAAGCACTTTTCCAACAGCCTTGATGCAAAGAGCGTATTAGTGATGGAAACCTGATAAAGGAAACAGTAATAGATAAGTGCAAATTATTCACCTTAGCAGCTCCAGTGCTGCTGGGAATGATGTTGAATGAGGCAGCTCTTCCACCCCTCCAGTCTTTACTGGATGGCCCATCAACAGTCTTCTGGGTAGCTGAGAAGAAATATAGCACAAAGTCATAATCACGCTTAACACACTTAAATGAGGAACAGTAGATGTTACAGTTAATCATACCCACCAGTGATGGAGTGAACAGTGGTCATTAGCCCCTCGACAATGCCAAACCTATCATGAATAACCTACAATTGACAAAAAAAGATTAACAGAACAGAACAACTTAGCATCACAAGTGCAGTGCAATTATCTGAAGGCCTGATAACCTTTGCAAGTGGAGCAAGGCAGTTGGTCGTGCAGCTAGCATTAGAAACAATGTCAAGCTCTGGCTTGTATTCGTGCTCATTAACACCTACAACAAACATGGGAGCATCTTTACTCGGGGCAGATATGACAACCTTCTTTGCACCACCCTGGCTCAAGCAAAACAAAACAGACACGTTATTATTACACAAACCCTCAGAAAACTAAACCATGACAACATAACATCGAAGAAGAAATACTAAGCAAAGTTTTTGTCAGGCGGCATTTTATAGCGTGCTAATAGCTAAGCTACAAGACCCAGTGCAAATCAACCCAAGAGATGTTCTACATGAAAAGATAGCGGTGAAAGCAATATTATTGCGCAGACGTTTAAAATAAAGTTTTCAGACAATATGAGATCGTTAAGAAAAGCAAGCGACTAAGAATAAAGTCACGAGAAGGGGTAGCGCACAAAGGCAAACCTTCAAATGGGCAGCAGCCTTCTCCTTGTCTGTGAAGACACCGGTGGACTCAACAATATACTCAGCTCCAGTCTCAGCCCATGGGATCTCTTCTGGGTTCCTGATGCATGAAGTTACAAGGTCGATAGATAATATCTTCACCTTCGAGACGTAGTGTTAACAATTACAAGCACAACCATGAGAAAATTTCAGGAAAAATACCTGTGTGAAAACACAGTGACTTCCTTGTCACCAAAAAGAAGGGTTTTAGAGTCCTTGACCTTGACATCGTGATGTTTCCACTGCCCGTGAACACTATCGTACTTGAACATGTAGGTCTGCCATGCACCGATAACCAGTTCAGATAAAATTAAAAGAAAAATCTTAGGCCAAGTTCGGAATTGTATTCGTATTTCGTACAGCACAAAACATGTTGAACAAGTCAACAACTAAGACTATCAACTTAAACTGAACACGCATCAAATCTATAGAAAGGCTGAAAGAGAGAACTAGAATCCGATAAGAGAGCCAAGCACAGCTGATCCACTACAAATCTACAAATGCAGTGATGGGACATGAACATAGATAAAAGTAGTTTATACCATGTAATCGGTAGTAATGAAAGGGTCATTGATAGCGCGGATTTCAATATCGTCTCTCTGCAGAGCCACTCTCGCCACCAAGCGACCAATCCTTCCAAATCCTGGAAGCCAAAAAACAAACGCAATGAGGAACTCGAGTTCCTTCCGAAAATAATTGACCACGGGGAAGAAAAAGGCAAACGATCCGATCTGAGCGAACAATCAGTAAAAGAAACAGGAGGATGTAGATCGTAGCAAAAGATCATTTACCATTGATTCCGATCTTGATCTTTACTGATCTCATGCACAAAAAAAAAAAAAGGAAATCAGATCAAAGTAGAGAAAGAAAAATCGTGAGTGAAAAGAAAGTAAAATCCATGAAATAGTTGAGATTACCCATAGTTGGGGAAGGTGGAGGAAGTACTAGGCGGAACCGATAAGGAGAGTAGAGTAGAAATGAGAGAGCAGCGGAAGACAGGAAAGAAAAATAGTGTTAGGGTTGATTAATTTAGGGACCGTAATGACCGGTGCTGGTTGGGGCAGTGCAGAGAGGCCCTCTAGAATCTCCCTCGCACTTATTATTACGCTAAAAAACCGGCGCCTGACCCATGACACTGTCTCGTGATTTTTCGCCGCTTGATTTTCTATTATTTTATTGACTGTTTGCTTAAAAATATAAAATATTTTTAATTAAATTTTAATTTTAATAATATAATTATTTATTTTATTATAAAAAATAATTATTTATTTTTAAATTAACTCTATTTTTTATATTTATTTTTATTAAATATTTTAAAAAATAAAATAATATATTTAATAGGAACATCTTTATTAAAATATTTTATATTTTTTAATTTTTAACTTTTAAAAAATATATTTTTATATTTTTAAATGAAGAGTATAATAATTATTGTAGAGTTTGAAATCTCTGTCTTTTTTAATCTTTTGAAAAATAAAATAAACTTTTTATATAGCACCACATCTATGTGTTATTTTTTTTTAAAGTATTGTTACTTTATTGTTTGATAATTAGATAATCTAAATAATTGTTCTCATTGAAATGTATCAAACTCATATATAAAAAAATCCGTGTGGTTACAAAAATAACTAAAAATGAAAATGCATGTTAGGATAAATATAAGGGAAGAATATAAGTATAGAATTAGATTTGTATTTTTTTATTTAAAAATGTAAGATTTTTTTAATCGAATCTCACTTCTCAATAAAATAGTTACCTACTTTTCAACTAACCTATTTTTCTATATTTACTCCTATTAAATATTTTATAATAAATATAAAGTCATTATCAATAAGAGTATTTTAAAAAAATAATGATTATATTTTAAAAAATTAAAATATTTTATATTTTTAAATATTTAACTTTTTAAAAAATATTTTATATTTTTAAATAAAGAGTATAATAATTATTGTAGAGTTTGAAATCTCTGTCTTTTTTAATCTTTTAAAAAATAAAATAAATTTTTTATATAGCACCACATCTATGTGTTATTTTTTTCAAAAGTATTGTTACTTTATTGTTTGATAATTAGATAATCTAAATAATTGTTCTCATTGAAATGTATCAAACTCATATATAAAAAATCCGTGTGGTTACAAAAATAACTAAAAATGAAAATGCATGTTAGGATAAATATAAGAGAAGAATATAAGTATAGAATTAGATTTGTATTTTTTTATTTAAAAATATAAGATTTTTTTAATCGAATCTCACTTCTTAATAAAATAGTTACCTACTTTTTAACTAACCCTATCTTTTTATATTTATTCCTATTAAATATTTTATAATAAATATAAAGTTATTATCAATAAGAATATTTTAAAAAAATAATGATTATATTTTAAAAAATTAAACTATTTTATATTTTTAAATATTTAATTTTTTAAAAAATATTTTATATTTTTAAATAAAGAAAAATATATTGTTTTGAATTGTTAAAAAAAAATGAAGAGAAGGTGAGAAGGACCTGGAGAATAAGAAATAAAGAAAATGATGATGGGGGGGTGGGGGGAAGGGAGAGAAAGAGGGAATATTCGGTGGACACGTCACGTAGTGGAGACCTGGAGGCTCGTATTGGAAGACACGTTGCCATCGACTTTTAAAAACTTTAGGGGGTTTGAATTCGAAGCAAAAGACATTGGCTAGTTGGCTGTGAGGTCAACAACAAAACCAACCCACAAGTACGAAAAACCGGAATATCGTGGGGTTTATGTTTATGTTTATCCCCGCAATCTGGAATGTTGGATATCAACCATCCATTTATTTTATTGTTAATTGTTAATGCTAATATATCTACTTGCTTCCCTTCAAAATAAATAAATAAATGAAATTTGCTATCACTTTTATACGGGTGTAATTAATCGATAGATTTGCTAATACGTAAAAAGGCAATAGAACTGGTGGTTCTCCTAAGGTCCGTGAACATAAATGCAAGAAACATGCAGAAAGGTCAGATGGCGCTTCAAAGGATGTCCGTGAGCAACAACGCGCCTTGCTCTTTTAATTTCTCATTACATTATTTTGTTAAAGTATTCTTTTCCTTAATAAATTAGTGTTTGAGATCCAACTATCCCTTTAATTTTATGCTCCTAGTTTAGTTCATTTTTTTCAATCGACACCAAATGACCAAAAATATATATCCTTTACTTATATATACTTGAATTGAACCTTACCTTGGTGAGAGTCAGCCTTACACGCACTTCTGGTTGTATTTACTGTAAAACTTGGCACGCTTAGCCATATCAATTCATAATGTTGGATTTCACCATAAATTTAACGCAACTTTGCAAAACAGTTTTTGGTTTGGGGGCACTGATATATAATTATATTAGTGCACTATCGTCCCATGGGCTGGATTTCAGCGGAGGCCCATATTCTGTATACCGCCACATGGCATCAGGCTGGGCCACCAAACTGTAGCTTTATTTTTTTGTTTATCTATCTTGTTCCAACTTTCAACTATAGCCTTTGCTTTTGAAAAAGGAAAAAGAAAAAAAGAAACCTCACAACTATAGCTAAGATCCGAAATCTTAAAAAACAAGGGAAAACGCATGAAAATTTATCCATTGATATCAGGAGGCTCATGGTATAGGATTAAAATCCCAAGTTGGATGGTATTTATTTAGAAGTTAATAAATCCGCTAATTGATTGGTTAAAATGCTCGTAATATTTAAGCAGAATTTTTCACCTTTATTGTCATGCTCGTAAAGTGATAATTAAGATATACAAGTGAGTTTATTTAAGAAAAAGCCCAACTTACAACATTTTAATAGTCAATTTTCTTTTTCATTTTTTTAATACAAAGACGAAACCTCCTAAGCTTTATTCTAAATCTTTTACAAGGTGTAATAAGTTTAAATGGCCATCAAAATTCAATTATTAACTCTTAATTATCTCAATTAACTAATTAAACTACTTAATCAATTAATTTAATCTTCAAATTTATTTGGGGATGTTTAAATCCATAGCCTCAGCTGAATTAGTCTCGAGCTTGATCATGTGGAATCCTGCATCCCACACAAGTCGCAAGCCATGAACACAAACCCATAACTTAGCTGTCAGGAATCACCACCATACAAGAACCTACTATTAGCGTCCCACAGAAGGCCTCCACAAGCCACGTGCAAATTCTGTTGAGAGTAGGCACCATCGACATTGCACTTAATCCAATCAAGTTCAGGTGCTTTCCAGATGTCCTTCCTGAACTGAATCTTGTGATTCCTTTGACCTTTTGCAAGTTTTTGACTAGGCAAACCTCAAGCTGCAAACCATTGCATTTGCACTTGCCAAGGCAGTCTCGTTATTGGTTTTACTACTCTCAAGTCTCAAATGGCAGGAGCTTCCTACGTTTCCAAGTCCACCAACAAACTACCATGAACAGAGAACCCCAATCACCATGATTCATGCACACATTATGAGAAATGCTCAGACATACTTGTTCATTGAATACTCTCTCACTAGTCCCATCCTCTTTGTTCTCTTTTTAAAATTAAGAAAACTTAGGTCATGTTTGATTAATAGATTAAAAAAAATTAAGACAAAAATGAACTAAATTACTCTTAATAAATATAATAAAACTTACTAATCATACTATTCAAAAATCTCATAAATTATGACTCTCAATTTTATGAACTAAATTAATTCTCCCTCTATAAATATGCCCATCTATCTCCTTTGATCATTTTTTTATTTTTTAATCCATTTCATTTCATTTTATGCAATTGTGACCTTAGTAGTTTGTAAATATTGCACTCCTTGAGGTGATTAGAATTTTTACATGTGTCCATAATATCCCTATAGCTAACAATTTCAATCGTACACTTATAACCAACATCCTGTGATTATTTTGACTTATTCGTGTGATACTTTTAGCATCTTAACTAAGCAAACCATGCGAGGCATTGGAACCCTTTTTTTTGGGGGGGGGGGGGGTGAGGGAGAACAGAGAGTGAGAAAGGCACTGTTCCTATATTGCAAGAAAAAGAGGCAGTTATTTTGATATTATCCCATCACTACATGGCGAGCTAGTTAATTTCGATGTACTAAGAATCAAAGAAAATTCCCCCCCTCAATCACATGCTAAAATCCATCGCAAGCCAAACAGTGATGTATAGAAATTCCCTCGCCAACTTGATCCTTAATTTATAATTCATTTTCTACTCTTTGTGCACATAGTGCCCGTCACTATATTTTCAATTAATTGCAAGGGATTTCTCTTATTTTATTAATTAAATTAATTATTTATAATGGGATATATCTTCCAAGATCCATATTAATCAACTGTCAATCTGATTTAATTTAGTAATTATGTACTTATCAAACTCATCTTAAATCATAAAATATGATTATTTATAACCATTTATATTGATATAAAATTTTAAATATATTTTTCAATAAACTACTACTGAAAAAGAAAGAAAGAAAGAAAGCGAGCTGAAATTCACGGAATGAAATATTAATTCGGAATATTCGAGGCTGGCTCAGATGCATTACTAATTGATTCATTCATTTTTTATTTTTTGGACTCTCTTAGATTAGGCAAGACCCAATAAATGAAAGGAAGCCCTCGGACTGATATTAATTGCTTTATCATAGTAGCAATATTTGTGTAATAATGTATCCCATCCAACAAAAATTAAGTGTAATATCAAATATTATTAATCATTAATATTAATATTAATTATTAATTATTAATTCGTAATGTGAACAGAAAACGGCTAGCTATTTTTATCAAACTCCAGCTCAAGGCATGTAAACAAGGCACCTGCAGTCCAGAACGTTTTCC